TTCTTTAAGTGGCTGCTTCAACAAAGCAGTCAGGCTCAGGTTGCTGTGGTTTGATCCCCACAACTCAAGCCAGCCAAACCTGCCCTGAAGGCATTCGGAGCAAAAAAAAAAAAAAAAATCCTTCAGTTGACTTGCCTTCTCTGGACATGTATGATTTAATTCATATGAAACATTCAGATAAGGGACTTATAAACTTTCAGAACTTCTTGTTTCAGGGCTGGGGAGATACCTCAGCAGCACACGTGCCTGTCTGGCAAGTGCAAGATCTTGAGTTTGACCCCCAGTACCAAGAAAAAAAAAAAAGAACTTCCTGTTTCACAATTCTCCTTTTCTGCCATGCAAGTTACCTGGAATTTCCTGGCCTGGGCAGGAATGTCTGGAGAGGGGCTGCTTGCTTGTTCTGTACAGTAGCAACCTTTTTCATCTGCAGGCTGGTGATTTGAGAAACATGTGGTTTCATGCCCAGAAATACACATGGCTGTGATGTATTTTGGGAGGCACAACAGATTATCCCCAATTGGTAAAGTAAACAAACGTGAAAACAATTAGAAGTAAGGAAAACCTGTTAGCAAGCATGTGGCTCTGGGATACTTGTATTTGAGTCCTGCTTCTGTAGCACCCTGTGCAGGTTAGGATCATTCAGGGCTGGGCTGCAAGGCAGATGAGGGATCCTGTGGTCAGGTGGTCCCCTTTCGGGGCCTTTCAGTCATTGGAGTCCTCCAGGAGAAAGGCTCCTTCACTGCGAGTGATTGTTACCTGTTCTTTCCAAAGAGAGAGCCCAGCCTCTGACATTTTACATAGAAATGTACCTGCAGGAGTTTATATTATTTACCTTTGACTAGAGCAGGCCAGATTTTGGGACTCTTGAAAGCCATGTCCATATCCAGGGCTCAGAAGGGAACCATCCAGAGTTCTGGAGCGGAGCTATGACCTGCATTGCCTGTGGATGGGCGAAGTAGAGTTAGGAAACCTGTTTCTGGAGCTCTTGTGATTTGGGAGGTGAAGTAGCCTGCCAGGTGGGAAGGGGCAGAAAGTTGGGAAAGGTGCATTTGTATACAGCACCATTCCTTCCCAGCTGCACTTCTTTGGCTCTGGCATGCTGAGTGCTCCCTGGCCTGGCTGGATGGAGCAGCATGCAGAAGAATCCTGGCCTCTGTTTGGCCTGTGGAAGTCATGTGTCTGCACTGGTGATGTGTGCGGTGGTGGGGGCAGGCCCAGAATCACCGTGCAGCTGAAGCAGTTGAGCAAGCAGATTAGACTGCGTCGGGATGATGAGTTTCTTTCCTGTACAAAGAAGGAAATCCCCCAGCAGACACAGGGTTGGAAAAGGGCTCAGAGAGGAAGTACCTGCAGCCCCTGTACATTCTCAGCCACTTGCAAGATGAAAATCAGAGGTAGGCAGATGGAAATCAGTAACTGGCTGCCCTCTACTGGGGACCCTATAAAGAAAGGTCTAGGGCTGGGGAGATGGCTCAGTGGAATAAGTGCTTCCCTGGCAAGCGCAATGCCGGAGTTCAATCCCTGGTTCTGGGGGGGAAAAAAGGAAAGGTCTATACAGTATGTGAACTTCTAGGATGTTCTCGGTTGGCTGGGGGCTTTTGCTCAGTTCATGTAGAAATCCACAAGTGGTACAGTGCAGCTTTGTGTTCCCACCCCGGAGCTGTGAATGCTGGCAGCTGTCAGCTTTCTCAGTGTTGGCAGCTCTCCTTTCGGCTCAGAGCCAGCAGTCAGCCAGGTGTGGGGATCTTCTCAGCCAGCAGAGATGGCAGCTCCGAGCCATCTTCATTACTCTCCATTCTGTGGCTGCTTTAGTGTTACCAGCTGTTGCTGTAACAGTTTGGTGTGATCTACTCAAGATAGAAGTCGGGCCGGGGAGATGGCTCAGTAGAATAAGTGCTTCCCTGGCAAGCACAAGGGCCCAAGTTCAATCCCCGGTTCCGCAAAAAAAAAAAAAAAAAAAAAAAAAAAAGAAGTCACAAGCCAAAGCCTGGTGGAACACACCTGTAATCCCAGCACTCAAGAGGCTGAGGCAAGAGGATCGTTGTGAGTTTGAGGCCATCCTGGGCTACAAAGTGAGTTCAAGGCCTGCCTAAACTACATAATGAGATCCTATCACAAAAAGACAAAAGAAATAAAGGGGCCAGGGAGATAGCTCAGCAGCATAAGCACCTGCCTTACAAGTGTAAGGTCTCGGGGCTGGTGAGATGGCTCAGTGGTTTAAAGCACCTGCTTGGAACAAGCTTGGCAAAGCGGAGGGACCATGGTTCGATCCCCCAGCACCACATGCCAGCCAGCCCCGCCCCCAGGTGGGCTGAACTGGTCACACACACACACACACACACACACACAAAAAAAAAAAAAAAAAAAAAAACAAGTGTAGGGTCCCACATTCAGTCCCCAGTACTGCAAAAAAAAAAAAAAAGTAGTCACAGATAGGCAAAGCTGTGTCATCTGTCAAAGTCTTCATTAGGACTTGCATAAAGTGGAACAGCACACAACTAAACCTAGTAAGGATATAAAAGGATGGATTATACAGGAGAAAAGGTGGACTCACATGTAGCATTGTGCATGAGAATCATCCAGAGGTGACAGGGCAGGGCCATCTGGATAAGTCCAAGTCTAAAGCTGGTTATCGCAGGGCTGGGGAGATAGCTCGGTGGCATAAGCACTTGCCTGGCAAGCTCAAGGTCCTGAGTTTGATCCTTGGTACCAGTGCACCATGCAGTGGTGCACAGCTGTAATCCCAGCTCTGGGGAGGCTGAGAACAGGAGGATCACTAGGACCAAACTATGTAGCGAGACCTTGCATCAAAAGAATGAAAAAAAAATTTTAAATTAAGTTAGAGACTGGGCGTGGTGGCACGCTCCTAAAATCCCAGCACTTGGGAGGCTGTAAACAGGCCGATCACTACAAGTCCAATCTAGGAGTGAGACCCTGAACACCCTGTAGACCGTTCCCTAAAATACAAAAGTAAAAATAAAAATAAAGTTGGCTAAAGCCAAGGCAGATGCCTCCTAGAGCAGGCATGGGGGCACTACAAAGCCTTTGTCTTTTTTTTTTGTGTGTGTGTGGTACCAGAGATTGAACTCAGGACCCTGTGCTTGCCAGGCAGATGCTTATTCTACTGAGCTATCTCCCTGGCCTTTGGTGGAGCTACAGAGAAAAATACCTCCTGGAGTGCCATGGGCCCTTCTGTCCTGGCTAGACCTTAGAACTCTGGCTATCCTCTCCCACAGGTATGCAGATGACCTTGGATGCCAGAGTTGTGTCTCTGAGCTAGGTGGGTTCTGCTTTGTGTTTCAGACTTCTGTGGAGCTTCGCAGGTAGTGGGGAGGTGCCGGGCCTCTATGCCCAGATGGTGGTACAATATCACTGATGGCTCCTGCCAGATGTTTGTTTACGGAGGCTGTGATGGAAATTACAATAATTACCAGAGTAAGGAGGAGTGTCTTGGGAAATGTGCTGGTGTCACAGGTAAGGCCATGGTGGTTGGGGAAATTTTACTATTTGGGGGAGTTATTGGTTGGATGTGGCTGCCTTCTGTGTGCAGGTTCTTTATAGTGGAACCTGAGAGAGGTTTTTATTTTATTTTATTATTTATTTATTGCGGTACCAGGGATTGAACTCCGGACCCTGTGCTTGCCAGGCGAGCACTTATTCTTTCTGGCCCATGGGAGAGGTTTTTTTTTTTTTTTTTTTTGTGGAACCAGGGATTGAACTCAGGCCCTTGTGCTTGTGCTTGCCAGGGAAGCGCTTATTCTACTGAGCCATCTCCCCGGCCCCGGAGAGGTTTTTAAAAGCACAAGAAACAGGCTCACAGGTCCTTGCAGCCATACCATTATTTCAAAGCACCTCCCTTCATCCCAGAAAAGGAGGGCAGCCCCTCTCTGAGTACAAGCCCTCCCAGTCCTTTTGCAAAAGGCTGCCTCTTTGGTCCCTGGGCATTTGGGGCTATTTTTATCTGTGAGACAAATGACCTGAAAAGCTCACACAGCCAAATTATAAGTCAACACTAGAATGTGCATCCTGGGATCCATCTTTCTTCCAACCTTCACTTGCACAGGACTCACTCTGTGTAATCAAGATAATGGTGATGGGCAGCCTTGTACTTTACATCAAAACTGGGAGCCCAGGGCAGGGGAGATAGCTCAGTAGAATAGATGTTTGCCTAGCAAGCTCAGGATCCTGAGTTCAATCCCCAGTACCACAAAAAACAAAAACAAAAAAAAAAAACAGAAACAAAACTGGGAGCCCAGCATCCCATCCTGGCTTTGACCCTTCCATAGAGGACCTCTGAGGAGGGAGAGTTCATGGTGGAGAGGCCTGATCCTTCCCCAGTGTCCTGAGTACTGAGAATGGGACTTTCCAAAGCCTCTTGTAAAGATTTTCAGAGGGATTGACCTGACATTAGTGTAAGACTTCATGTAGCTCTTGATGACTGTCATTGAGGTGCCTCTTGAGTGGGGATTCTGTGTTGTGCCCTTGGCCACTGTCACCCTGTGAGCACTTTGGGGTGTGGTTTCTCTGGCTATACCATATTCTGTCTCCCTTGGCTTTAAACTGTACATTCAGGGATAAGCTAAGCTGAGTTGTATGTGAAGATGTAAAGAAGTGACCACAGACAGCAACCATTGAAAAAGAGTAGCCATGGCCCTCCGCTATCCCATGGCCGTGGGCCTCAACAAGGCCACAAGGTGACTAAGAATGTGAGCAAACCGAGGCACAGCCGCTGCTGCGGACGTCTCGCCAAACACACCAAGTTCGTGCGGGACATGATCCGGGAAGTGTGCGGCTTCGCCCCCTATGAGC